TTGGAGTTTGAAATAAATTTTATTGAAAACACGATGTATTTTGTTTTGCATTCATTTGTATTTATTTTTTCTTAATTTATTTATAATTTTTTCAATATTTTCAAATTATACAACAAAACTATTATTTATAATTAAACAATAATTCAATTGTCTCTCAGTATATATTTTAAATATAATTTCCATATATATTCTCATTTTCAATATATATTTATAATTAAAAGTTGATCTCAATGTTGAGGAACATGTTTATAATATATAACTATTTTTTGTTTGCAAAAAATATATAATTTTCCGTTCATTTTGTGTCTAAATATACCGTTAAATGCATTCATTGTTTTGTTAGTCTGTTTTTTGTTTCATTTTGGATCAAGAGTTAGGTCTTTAAACAACAGATATATTCGTTTGTATAATAAAATCATTTGTAAATACAATAGGTTTTCATGTATTGAAGTGAAACGGTTTTTGTGTCAATATTTCGTCGCGAAATTCATCTCTATTTTTAAAATATGTATTCATTTGTTTTGTTTGCAATTTTTCTTAAGAAAATACTTATATTAATATATCATATACTGTGTAAATGCAGTCAATTTGTTATAATAGTTGTTAATTTACAGATTATAAGCCCTTTTTGTGTGTCTCTAAAACTTATAAGAAATAGTTTTCAAATTAGATTTTTTTGGTTGTTTTGAGTTAACAAACATTTTTTTAAAACTATTTTTGTTCACTAAAAAACGTAAAGAAAAAGTACATAAACATAAAAACACAATTAAATTAATTAAGTTATTGTTTTGATTGGAAATAGTAATCAAAAAGTAAAACCAATAGGTTTTAAGAGAAAATTATATAAACAAAACATTATTTATATTTCAAATATATACTGAAAATTGATTTTTTACACAAATAAATAATTAATTTTCTTAATTTTTAAAATCTGATTTGAGTTTTACATCAAAAACTATTTAATAGTATATTATTATTATTTAAATTTATTTAATAATATAATAAAATCTTTTTTAATATATGTTTATATTTATATATGGATTTTGTGGCACTATTTTGTCTGAAAAATAATATGTATTTTTTCCAAATGAGAAATAACAACAAATGTGTTACCAATTGATACATCAAATGTAATGATAACTCAAACGCGGGATCCGTTTGAGGTGTCGATTGACGTATCACTTGTTGCGATGACTTGTGGCCAAATGCTTCTGGAGTAACGCCGGCATCAGAAAGCCTTTACCACATGTGGGACAGTAATGGGGATATTCTTTCGTATGGATTGCTATGATGTGATTGCGTAGGGATGAGCTCTGATTGAATTTACTGCCGCATCGGTTGCAATGGTATGGCTTTTCTCCCGTATGGGTCAGTATATGCCTCTGCAAATGGCTCTTCGTCTTGAAACTCTTACCTATGGTTTGAGCAAAAATAAAACACATTTTGACAGTCAATCAACTCTTTCTCTAATCATTAAATGCTATCAATTGAGTAGAGACTCATTAAAACATGCAATTAATTGGCACATCATTTAAACCTTAATTAACCGCTTATTTAAAGTAAAGTTGAAACAAAAAAATTGATTTTCAAATCGATAAAAATATCGCAACATTTTGTCACAAAAAGTGCCCAAAAAAGAAATCTCTACTCAATTGATAGAAAAATTGAAAAAATGTGTAAAGAGGTAAACAAATGGTTAATACCATTACCACAATGAGAACAATGAAACTTTCGTCGTATGCCTTCAACGCCAGCACCGGAGCCGTCGATGCCATCGAAAAATGCATTCACTCTCGACTTACGATTGCCTTTTCCACGACCTCTTGGCTTTGGATTGCCTTCACTTCCGGTCTGTTCACTAGTTTTCACTCTTTTATTATTATTATTATTACTATTATTACTAATATTATTATTATTGATAACATTGGGAACAATTGTCTCAACACTGACACCATATTCTTCTTCTTGCTCTTCCTCCTCCTCCTCTTCATCGCTCTCTTCTTCGTCGTCATCCTCTTCATCGTCGACCTCCGACTCGTTGTCACCGTTCCTATCATTATTGGGCACCTCTTCCTCCTCTTCTTCGTCGTCGACATTGCGGTCGTTTTGTTTGGGATTATATAATAATAGTATGAAATAAAACTTAATTAACCGCTTATTTAAAGTAAAGTTGAAACAAAAAAATTGATTTTCAAATCGATAAAAATATCGCAACATTTTGTCACAAAAAGTGCCCAAAAAAGAAATCTCTACTCAATTGATAGAAAAAATTGAAAAAATGTGTAAAGAGGTAAACAAATGGTTAATACCATTACCACAATGAGAACAATGAAACTTTCGTCGTATGCCTTCAACGCCAGCACCGGAGCCGTCGATGCCATCGAAAAACGCATTCACTCTCGACTTACGATTGCCTTTTCCACGACCTCTTGGCTTTGGATTGCCTTCACTTCCGGTCTGTTCACTAGTTTTCACTCTTTTATTATTATTATTATTATTACTATTATTACTAATATTATTATTATTGATAACATTGGGAACAATTGTCTCAACACTGACACCATATTCTTCTTCTTGCTCTTCTTCCTCCTCTTCTTCATCGCTCTCTTCTTCGTCGTCATCCTCTTCATCGTCGACCTCCGACTCGTTGTCACCGTTCCTATCATTATTGGGCACCTCTTCCTCCTCTTCTTCGTCGTCGTCGTCCTCCTCTTCCTCGTCATCCTCTTCTTCCTCCTCCTCCTCGTCGTCACCCGAAGAGTTGGTGTACTTATTGTCCATAAGGTCTGACGGATCGATGGTTTTTAAGTTATAAAAATTGTTTGTGTGATCACTAAGTGATGCCATAATGCCTTTGGAGCTCATGCGACACGAGCTCTGCGTTGACTGCATATTAGATGATAATAACAGGTCATCAGTGGTTGCCGTCGCCACCGATCTATAGCGCAAACATAGATACAAATAAATGGTTAGACATTTAATCTCAAAAACTTTAATAACTAAATAAATAAAATGATAGAAAGAAAACTTATGATAAAAAACAGTTTAAGATATTTGAGAAGAAAATGAGCAAAAAATAAGGAAAAATAAATAATAAGTTGAAAACAAAAACTGAAATCAAGAATTGAAAAAAAAATCGTGAGTTTTCTCACAAATCCTGTTATTTTGAAAGCAATTAATCAATTAATGTATCGATTAGTGTATGTGTTGTGTGTGTTTGAGAGGAAGACTGGATATCACTATAAATCAATCAAAACGTGTTATCAAGTGTTACATCAGTTGTGAGGCAATCTATTAATCGCCTTTTGAGTCCAAACACCCAAAACTACAGACTTTATATATAAACTGTATATTTAAAGCAACAAAAACATAATCTCTTATCTAATTCTGTAATCAATTTGAGTGATAACTCAATCGGGAGACTGAATGGTAAGGAAAAAAGAAACCAATAATCATAAAAACAAAATCAAATCATTAGCGACGGGAATGTCTGGGAAAGCGGATCTGTTAGCCATCGTTACGCACAATACTAACCGTTTGCCGGACATAATACAGGCGGAGGGCTCTTCATCGGAGATGCTGTCAATGGGTCCGATGGGCTCGTGTTTGATGGGCGACGTGGAGGCGGTGGTGAGCTGTGGTTTGCTGCACACCTGACACCTGTGCGGAGGTTTGCCGGTGTGGGACATAATATGCCAATTGTAATGAAACGAGTTATCACTAGAGTATGGACAGTGACTGCATGTCAACAGTTTGATGCCATTGCACTCGGCGTGGTTTCGCCGGTGCTGTTGGTAGTAATCCAAACACGTGAACAACGCGTTGCATGTCTGGCACGTGTACACACCCGGGGCTGTGATGGACAACACAGACACAGACAAACGTTCATTAGTTTCATTATGTCGTAAACACACTAACAGACCAGACATGCCTCAGGTCTCTCTCTCTCTCTCTCTCTCCCTCTCCCTCTCTCTGACATACGGGACACTCTTTAACATGTAATTCATGCCAAAAGTAAACAAACTTTTTCTCATTAGCACTCAATTGTGATATTTCTATATGAATGGCAAACACCCCTCCCCTTCACACACACCCACACATCGACCCCCACTCTAACCCCCAATCCATACACACTATCGGCGATAATAGCGCCGATTGTCTCAAACATATAAACCGTATAATTACTTATTTTGGATGAATCGGCGGATATCATGATGTGATGCGCTCTCACGAGGAGATACTGTCCCTCGGGATCAGTTGATTACAGGTATAGACACAACACTAACACACGTCTGGAGAGAGGGATGAGATGTGAAGATATGATGCACTGTTAGCCCTCTCTCTCTCTCTCTCTCGCTGTCTGTAAACACAAACACAGCCAACACTTGTGCGGACACAAGGGATCAGTGGTTCGCCACAAATAGTGTCAAACGTATGACTGAAGACATGGTTTAGACGGCGAAGAAGTAGTGATGAGAAAAAACACAATAATATGTAAACAATAATAACACTGTTATGAATGGTTTGAGACAATCAGACAATGTGTTCGTTCATTGAGTGTATGAGTGGTTCACAACACATGTATGGATGGCTTCGGCAGCCATTCTTCGGGCCAAACGATTGGATCGAAACAATTAGTGCCACAAATGAGACGATCAGTCCATACAAGCGATACAAACAAACAAAACGATCGCTGAATGCAAACAACCTATTGATAGGCCACAGGAGTTAACGCTTGTGTCGAACGAACGGCTATTTCGCTGCACTCGCTATGCATTACAGTCTATATGTAAGCGTTATTTTCAATGCAATGTTTAAAATACTTATCAATGCATTCAATGTATACATCAATACTGTATTCGCACCACAAATATAGGACAAAGAGAAAGGAAAACTCACATTATATTGCTTTTAGTCCATACCATACGACTCGAGGGGGGCTCTCGTCTGCCGTTCCGTCCAATACTGTCGGTTGTTGTCTGGTATGTGAGGGGGAGTCCAAAGTGTGACTATTTTATGGCACGTTATTTATGGTTATAGCCTATAGGGTGCGGCTATAGGCGAGCACTTAAGCTTCGATCTATAGGTTAGCATAAAATACGTCCGCTTTTTTTGGTCTGATTTCCAGACAAACACTCGTTATTATTGTCTAACGTTTCGCTATTCAAACGAAAACAGCGAATCAATTCACTTATAACGTGACGAGTTTTGAGGGGTGGGTTGCGTTGTGTAACAGGCGGGGGCTGTAATGCGTTGATAATGATATGCTATACGAGTGCGTGAGTTGGGGGGCAAACGATATGCGATTCCGGTATTTGTGTATATTTAGCGAGAGTTTTGGGCCCAGAAGTGTGTAATCGAGTGCAGCGTTGAATGCATTGGGAAAGCACTGAAACTGAAACATGAAATGTGTTTCTCATTTGTGTTCATCACTCGCCGAGAAATACAATACTTTTACATAAACTGACAGTTAATGTGACGTAAAGTTTGTAAACAAAACAAACGCACAGAAAAATGCAAAACATTTGAATCGCGATTACTTTTCAAGTGTTATAATTAACTGAAACACGTGTTCATTAAAAAACACTTGTATTACAACTAAAAGAGTGTAAATTAATTGTATTAATGGTTACATAGGTATTGCATCACTCGTTGTGTTAGTGTTTTTGCGTACGAAACCATGTTTTCGTATTTGTATTCAAATTGGATTTATTTCATACTATTATTATATAATCCCAAACAAAACGACCGCAATGTCGACGACGGCGACCACCCGTCGGCCCGTAAACTTCTGTCCGGCGCCCGAAGTACAGCTGATCCGTACGGTGACAGTGAGTGCAGTGAAGCGGTGGGTCGTGTGGACGCGTTTGTGGCCAATTGTGTCCGGGATTTGAGCAGCAAATTGGATGCCCTGACGGCCGACACAACCCATTTGGACGTCGAGTTGCGGTCAGTGGTTACTGTCCGAGACGTCCGCACATTAAGCCAGTATTTGTCGCACAATTACGAGTCACTCAATTGCGAACAACTCGAAGAGTTTGAAGAGACAATCAAACGGCTCATCGATGGACTCGTTGTGGTCGCCGACGATTACGGCCAGCGATCGTTGAAAGCAATCATTTTTAATAAACAAAATATATTGGATCTGACGCTCAGTGCGGTTAAGTGTGCGCTCATTGTGTCGGCCCTGTTATCGGCCGTATTGGCGGCCAAACACGTGTACACATCGTATATGCAGTGGCCGTCAAGACCTGTCGCGCCGATGGCTTTCACTTCCATGACATTCACCCGAAAGTCGTTAACAGTATTGGCAATGGTTT